CTACGGTCTTGTTGGTGATGGGAAAGATGAGGGGGGGGGGTACGAAAATAAAAACAGATGTTTCGAGACGGAGAGTTATGAGCCACCTAGCCATATTATTATAAAAGTATATGTAAATATATTTTAGTGGCATTCGGATGATTATTATTATTATTATTATTATTATTATCATCGTTATTATGGGGCAGAAAGAAAAAACACGCCACAGCGCGCCATCACTCCGAAAGCTCGCGCGGAACAGATCAGCCGGATCCGTTTACACGGATAGGTGATTTCGTCCCGAACGGTTCGTTAACCGTAATACGTTTTTAAAAACTTGTTTCTTATCTCCTAATTGGTCTGGTTGGCAATCGTCCGCGAAACGGATGTTTTCGAGAAACTAGTCAAAGTTTTCGCGCTTGGACGCGCGCCGCCCGGAAATTAGATAACATCAATAGTTTTACTTAACTGATATTACGCGCGTAATGCTTTTGATTCTACGCATACACATAGGTACCCGTTTCTGTACAAAGGTATTAAATCGTTTTGGGTGTCCGACGTGCCTTCAGAGTTTCGAACTCGTTTTTGACGAATCGAACGTCGCGTGATTTTAAAACTCTCAGTTCGCTTTTATGTCGATTTATTTCGACGACTTTTTACGACTCAATATAATATATATATATATATATATATATATATATACAATATAATAATTATGTATGACAATCAATGGAAGTTCCACCCCTCCCCCCACCACATACACACACGCACAATTACGCCACCGCGCAAATGACTTATACGGCCGACGTATATTTATGATAAATTAAAACCGAAGAATGTGCACAACGTACAATGAAATTCTATCCACTGATATTATCGTCATTTCTGTGAATTTGTGTTCAGACGTTTTTAAGATGTATAAATATATGAAGGTATATGTTTTCTTTTGTTTAAATATAATTTATCATCGACCTTTTGTCTAAAGCTCTGTCGTTGAGGATATAATATTTTTGTTTTGTACATTATATTAGGTAGGTATATACATTGCAATATCAGAATTAATTTTTCTACCTCTTCCTCTCTCAGTGCTTAAGCTTGTTGCTATATAGTATACTCCTAACCAAATAAGAATAACATAGTACCTAACTTACTTATCTCAACTTTAATCTATAATTGAACAGAAAACGTAATTAAAACTAATTCTATAAATATGTTCTTTGTTGTGAAGTGTACAAACGCTGTATGTGATATAGTTTGGTTCTCGGTAGACGGTAGTTAATAGTTATACATGTGAGTATATTATACATAGTTTCTGTTAGTTAATGATAAACTAATAAACATGAAATGGTATTGAAACTTAAAAGGTCTGAGCGAATAATTTCATTTTTGAAGTTTGTACCATTTTATGAAAAAAATTGTTTTTCCTTTTTAAAATAACTCAGACAATTCCAAAATAAAATTAAAAACAGTGGCGCAGCGATGCGCTTATCTAAATATAAAATAATAACAATAAAAAAAACAAACATGTATCTAATATATAAAAATCTCGTGTTACGGTGTTTGTGGTCGCACTCCTCCGAAGCGGCCCGATTTTAATGAAATTTTTTTTTTAACTTTGATAAGTATGAGGATAAGTCGCTTGTACTATTCACCTTCCTACCACACCCCAACTTTTTAAACTTAACTTTTTCAGATTTACGAAGGAAATTTTTGTTTATAAATGGTTGCTATTGGTTATTGGAGAAATATAAATATATTTAATAGAAATTGGTATTTTTTTTTTTTTGTTTATTGGTAGCCAGTGGTTAATTGGCCATGTCAGGTATAAGCATCATGCATTAAATTAAATTTTCGCACATTTTCTACCGAGGCGGCTGTGTTGCCCTTATAGGCTTTAGTCACTCATTGGCGGGTTTGCAATCAAAATAAAAATAAATCAAAATAAAACATATCATTTATAACACAGAGTACTGGTCAAGCGGGGTCCCCAATCCACCATAGTTGGATTGTTTACCTCATAATATCTGGCTCACATTATCGCAAGCGAGTATCATTATAGAGTTGTAATTTTTAATGAACAACCAAGTGCATGTGCTGCTAGTATAACATAAATAGCTATTTAATTACTATTAACTATCCGTGTATACTCGTGTAGATAAATTCGACTAGGAACTGTATTCACTTTGAAATTGCAATTTATTGTTGTGTCTAATTTTAGCCATACATAAAGCTTCGACTTCAATTTCTACTCCAGTTTTCGTTTAACAGATGGTAGAATTTAAAACTATATATGAAAAAAAATATAATTTAATAAAAAATATCCGTCCCCCCCTCCCACATGGAAAAGAACAGACAGCTTTTTAGTTGTATGCAGGAGCAAAGCCCCCATAGGTAGCTAACATTGATAGTTATTTAAAATATTAGCCTCCTTGAAATGTATATTAATTGATATCCGCCGAAGACTTTCGAAATTTCATTACACATCGTTAATTGAATTATGTATTTGTTCTGTCAATTATATTTAAAATACAAAATAAAATCTCACTCATTTTATGTTATTAATTTTAGACACATTAATAGCACATTTTTATTGCAAGTAAAACATGTTAATAATTTACATCGTGTTATAATATTTTTCAGTATCGAGTTTTAATGTTTCTATATAAATTGCTCATAATTTCATCTTATTAAATTTTATTCAAATTATTAAATATTTCATTTCATTTCATTTAGATTATTATATTTACAGTATATTCTATAAAACGGTTATAATCTGTTATTAAAACGTAAAGTGTTTATATTGCATATTTGTGTAATACCATTTAATAAATATTTAGTATTTTTATTCAAGCATTTTACTGCAGAATGTTTAAAATATTATAACAGTGCTGTGTAATAATATAATGTAATATAATGTAATATATTGATTATATTGGTTATGGTTGTTATGTTGGTTTATGTACCCTCTTCATAATTTATAGTTGATAAATGATATATTATTGTAATATTTTGGATTGATTATGATTTATATATCATATACAATCGCTGCATCGCGCATCGTGTAAACTTGATAAACTGTATCATATTTTCGATTTGAATATATTGCATAAGAATTTTCATGCAGCAACATAATTCATATTATAATATGATGGTCAATAGTTTTTGTTACTTTTTAAAATCGTTACCTTCGTTGTACAGTTATAGATTTTACTTTTAAGATTTATAGTATGTAGGATATTCAATGAATATCAAACAGCTAGTTTTTATCTATACCACATTGAGTTGTGATAAAATTATGCAAACATTGTACTGTAAGACGTTCACGTTATCGCGTTTCGCACACGAGACTCTTCAACTATATTATTTTCGTCTCAAATTAGTTTAGGATATTTAATATGCCATAATAATTCTAGTAAACTGCATTATAACGGTTTATGACGTCATATTTATGTGCTCAGTCTGGTTTAAACATATACACAGATACATACATTGTTATATGTATAGTGTGGGTATTGTATAATATTATATAGACAACAACTAAACATTATGTTCGGAGAAAAAGTGCCTGTTTTACTGTCTTACAGTATATCCGCAGTTGATTAAAAATGTCAGTAAAAGTATTCGAGTTTGAAAAGATGAACACTCATAATATAATCACCCAAATTGCACTACCTATAGGCTATATTATCGTTGCAATACGTAGATTGTTGATATTTTATGTACACATAAATGAATGATATGTAATAATATCATAACAGTTGGCATACAGAGCGTGTTATAGTGACAAATGTAATTTATTAACTATAACTATAAATTATAATACAATCCATTTTGTACTTGTCAATATGTTATTTTTTATACAATAACCATAATATAATTTATAATGTCTAAATGGAAAAAAAATAAAAGTTATTAGGTAGGTACATTGTATTTAATTAGTTTATTGCATCTGTAAGTGATCTATGTCACATCCTATATAATTTATGATGCAATTCAATGCTCATTAAATTATAATAATATGGTACACGTGTGGAATATATTTCCTTTTCTTGGATAATGTAAACAATCAACAGTGTACGATACATTGTAATCGTGAAAACAATACTTGGTGATAAAATTAACCTAGTTTGATTGCCTCTTTGAAGACAAAACAATTTAAAAATTCAATTTTAAGTTTTTATGATTTATGATTTATTCAGCAATATACTTAATATAATATAATAGATCCATAATTATTTAAAATATACGTATAATATGGGTAACGACGTTGATTATCAATGTCGCTATAATATTATTGTGTTCGTCGGACCCCGATTTTCGGGTAAACGCGACAGACCGTTTCCAGTCATTGTTTTCCTTCTTTGACCGACGACCGCAACATAAACATTTTTCGGTTGGTTTTTTTTTGTTGTTGTAAAGTTTAAGTTATTGTCCTATCGTAATAAATTAAATTGTTTGTATTTTCAATAAATAATAGATTATAAATACGATTTTGTGAACACAAATGAATTTTAAAAATTAAAGGCTTGTTAATAAATTATATTATATTTACCATTAATGTTAACAAGTTTTTACGATTTTGTATATTAATATCGGTACATAATATGTATGCAATGTTTTCAAGGATTGAAAATTCGAATCTTCCCTTAACCACCTGATCCAAAGAAGCCCCCGTAGCCTCATTCACCCCCTCCCCCCACTAATACACAACCATATAGTATAGGTACCATTATACCGTACGACTTGCAGATTACATGGTGTCGTTATTTACACCTTACACGTCACAATACCTATATAGTACGTTGGCAAATATAGTTTTCAAAACGGGATTATATTATATACACTTCGTATACGCCACAACAACAATATAGTAATAACTGTCGTTTAGACTCGCGGATTTTTTATTTTTTTATTTTTTACTCCGCATTATAATACTGTGCAGCGGTTTACGTCTTACAATACATAATAATAATAATAATAATAATATTACGATGACGTGTGTTTGGTTTTTTCCACAACAGTCCCGCCGATGCTGTGGATACCGCATCAGCTGGTCGGCGTACCGCTGGGCTACAACGTGACGCTGGAGTGTTACACCGAGGCGCACCCGACGTCCCTGCACTACTGGACCCGAGACAGCGGACAGATGTTGCACGACAGCGGCAAGTACAAGGCCGTGTCCATACAGGGCGCCCCGTCGTACAAGGTGCAGATGAAGTTGACCATCGTGGACGTGTCGCAGACCGACTACGGAGTGTACAAGTGCGTGGCGAAGAACTCGCGCGGCGAGACCGACGGCACGATCCGGCTGTACAGTGAGTGGTCGCACTTGATTACTTACACGCCCACACACACACACACACACACACACACACACACCCATAGCGTATTTTTAGATATTTTTTTTGTGCGTTTAGATCTAACTGTAGTATCATCGTAACGCCCGTGCATATAATAATATGACGGTGTACGAAACGCCACGTTTTTAGCAGCTAACCTGCACCTCCCCCGCCGCTTCCACCGCTCTGCTGTGTAGTGTCGCCTGCACCCGCGGTGTCGTTATAATATATAATATGTATAATAATTATAACCAATAATGTGTGTGCATAGAAAGATATCTGCAAGACGCGTGTGTATAGTTACTGTACAATACGTTGTCCGGGGACGTACTCGAAAAACTTTCCAAAAGACATCATCCTCTAACGAACGATCCTACTCTCGGGGCGGGATTATCAAAATATTGTTGGGATCTGTAGTTGTGGTACTAAAATTGAAAAAAAGAGCAACCTTTACACCTTCGATTTCGTGGTGTCGAGCACTATTGTAGCGATCACTACATGGCCGGCAAAACTACAAAAGTAATACTGAAGGTTAACGGAAAGTGCGCACGAACCTCACCCAACAATGTTTATAAATATCTTTGTTGGACATTGTTTGATGAAGAATGTCGAAAAATGTCGGTCAATGTCGAAAATTATGTCTAGAAATAAAACAAATTGTAGTGCTCGAACTTTAGCCCTACATCACGAAGTTTTGCAATACATATAGGTATTTAACTTATCTTCTACTTTCAAAAATGGTCCAACAAATATAAGTACATCTCTTTCAATGAGAAAATCACTCCATGAAATACGTTTCCATTTCTTAAGCAATTTAAAATGTAATTGTTTCTTTTTTTTCCATTTACCGCAGCGCTACTATTTGAATTACATGTATTATAAATTATAATAATGACGTAATAACCAATCAAAATTATAACTATCAATTTTACCTTCAATATTTTGTGTGTCTCAAAATCCCACCCAAAATATGCCTATTAATGAGAAAATAAACATTTAAGTTTGATTTAAAAAAAAAATAATTTAATCAACAGTTATTAATACATTATTTTCCGGTACGCCTTTTGATTTTGTTATGTACGTCCCTTGTGCTTAAAATATTATGTTATAACGAATTGTATACAGCTGCTTTTACTACCCTTGCAGCATACCATTATACCATTTGCTGAAGCTTGGCGTATTTATTGCACCTATTTTTCCCTATTTCAGTCCAGATCTATTACAAGGGTCAAGGACAACCAACTCTAGAAAACTATGAATACAACCTAGTCTCGATAACTCAAATCCCGAGGGGAACAAAAATAACAGTTAAGGTTTTTCTAATTAGAAGTTCACGGCATTAATACCAAATAAAAGTGTTTTTACAACTTACTTACAACTTACTGCTTTTCGTTGTCTGATTCATATAAGCCAATATGCAGTCAGTCCATTAGAATCTATAAAAAGTTATGCAAATATATTTTTTTGTCTGTGCAATATAGTTTCCCAGTTAAACATATAATTACATAATATATTTTTTAATGTTTGAACAATTTTTTTTTCTCTAGTTTAGTGTTGAAAACTGTTTTTATTGTTTCTTGAAATTCTTTTTTTGGAGTTACTGCTTATAATTTATTGGCAGTATTATAGTCGCATTTCGTGTACCTATTTGCCCCTTCATTCGTGCGGCGTCTGATCTTGAAGAGCAGACTGTTGTACTCCCAAGTCGATTGCGTATGCGTTTAATTTCGTATATTTTTTTTATTTTTAGAGATATGACAGTTACAAATTAATAAAGAAACTGCAAAATTATTCTTTTTTACCTCAGTTTCAGAGTTTCGTGCCCCAGTATATTATATATTATTACTGTTCTGCGTAGAGGAGTTATAATTGCTTTAGGATTCTCCGGATTTTGTCTTTGTTTCGTACGTTTCCGGTATTCGGTTTTTTAACCGTCATCTGTTTTACTCTTAAGTCTTCTGTATTATTTTTACAATAAATTCCAAGACCATAGTGTGGAGTTAGAATTACTTTGCAATTCAAAGAATATAGAGTTAACATTTTCGACGGGAATTAATACTTACGGAGTACTGAATTATTTCCTCAGAAATTTATGACTGTGTGGATTGAAATAACGAAAATCATCCAGACTAATTTATCTTGTGTAAAACAACCGAAAACGGCACACTTGAAATAGTAATATTTTGAAAAGTGGTATGGTGTTTCAATCAATTTTTTACGTTTTTGTTCTTGTATGACAGATATTTTATCGCATTATACTTTAATTAAAAAAAAAAAAATTTTCTCCTTCACATTTCAAAGAAAATTTCAGAAAACTAATATTTTAATGTTCAAATCAAAACAAAATGTCATCTATCGTCCTCTTACAATATGAGTTATTTTCCAATACACTGCAAACATTATCTTAAGCATGTTTTACTATAGCTTAAGCCAAACACTTTATCATCACATAATTATTTTTAGCTTATGAAAGTACTTTGACACCACAGATGGTTAAGGATTACATCCGAGTACTTAATGTGAATGGGGTCGGGTGTTTGGGTAGACGTCGAGTGTTCTTAGTTTGTAATTCACTACTCCCCGTCCATTAATGCTGTTTAATGTGTGCTGCGATTTACGCTTATAGAAAATATAAAAATGTATAATTCCTCTAGCGAAAAATCCATTCCGATTCGCATGACAAGTTTATTTTTTTCAATGTTTTCGCTTGCAATTAATTCACTTTGATTTTGAATATGGTATGAGCTAGTGTTATATTTTACATATTAAACAACGCGATATCCGTGTTACTATACTATAGTCGTAACTACTATCTCTATACATTAAACATTAATCAAATGTATTTTTTTAATTTCTATTGAAACATCTGTTTGATTATTAACATTCACTAAATTATATTGCTTCTAGAACTCACTTTTGAACTAACTTATAGATTGCAATTAAATTAATTTGAAAATGGTTCTAAAATTTCATGAAATTAATCTTATTGAAATATTTCATTTTGACGAAAAATAAAAATCAAATTTTCATTTAAAAGCTGTAGTTGAAAGTACAGTAAACATCTCTACTTAGTTAAAATATCTTAGTGGACAATGCTATTGTAATATTGCTTACATTGAACATTATATAAATTACATAATGATTATTAATTTTATGTATTATAATATATTATCTTTTCTACATCGTGATCGGGAGTTAAATATAGATAATCACTAATCAGGCATAAAATCAGTCTGACCATTAGTTATTTTTTGGTGGTGATTTTATGAAACACATCAAAAAACACAAAATTAAAAAAATATATTTTTCAATATTTCAAGAAGGATGAAACTTTCAAGTTTGAAATATTTCAAAGTGAAAATTGCATTTGAAATATTCTACACTCATTAAGTCATAACTCTAAATTTGAATGACAGTTTCAAATACTATGGGTAGGTATTTTTTCCTACTGAAATTACATACTATGAAAAAATTTACTATTTTACTATTGTATTTATGATCATTATTATAATTATTGCATTAAATAATGACGTGTTCAGTTTTCCGTGCAAATAACACACACACACACACACACACACACACACACACACACACATGTGCACATACGCATCTGCAGTTGAACTGCAGTCGAGTTTAAACGGAATTATTGTTTTAAATAATACGATTCGACCACAAGTCGATGTATCGTTTCTGATGTAAACACGTGTAACGGACACTTGCCGGGTTCAATAATTAATTTCGTTTTGGAACGTAGTCGTTCGTCGTACACCGCACGACGTCCGTGGTCGTGACACGTCGAATCACAGTCGGATCATTTCCCGCAGAACCCACGAAACAAAATCGAGCCCATACAATTACACACACCATCATCACATCAATAATATATAATAATAACGATAATAATAATATGCGTTGTGCACGCGTGTACACGTCGACCGTCGCGATCCGAAGCTGCCGACCGAGACCGGCACACACGGGCCACGACGACACGCGCAAACACGTCTTCCTCGACCATCGGAATTCCACGTTTGCGGCGCCGGTGCTAGCTGCTGCAGAGTATCGCGGCTACCTCTCGTCCGGGGAGGGTGCGGCGCGTGTAAATATGCACAATTATTTGTCGTAGTCGATGCGGGTGTGCGTGTGCGTGTCGCATAACCGCACCGGTCGCGCGGTTCCCGGCGGTTTATTATACCCGCTCACACGGCACGGGGCGGTATAGGGACGAGGGGGGGGGGCAAAGGGTTTTAAATTAGTCTCGGAGAAAATGCTCGCGGTATATTATAACCAAAAGCCAGTGGTGCGGCTATCATCGTGTGTGCGTCGTACGTTTGACGTGTTTGGTCGGTAGCGGTCTGCAGGTCGGTGTGTACAGCGTCATGTATATGTACTGTTTTATTATACCTACACACACATATAGGTTCACCTACCGTAACCGTGTGCGGTATACTGCGCGCGGGTAGGTGTACATTATGTATATCGCCGTGGAAAACGCGCTCGGTCTTCGGATGTAATAATAATAATAATAATAATAATAATATGTACGCCTGCGGTCTGAATTGTAATTAACATATGCTGCCCGCGGGCGCGGTACATGCGGCTGACCACGGGTTGATATCCATCCGAAAACGGATGTTAAAATAATTAGTTTCCACGACCACCGGTAATGAGCAATTTCGCAAAAGGACTGCTGCAGTCCTCCGGGCTCATCGGCGACCGCGCATTCTAAGGCAGCCGCCGCCGGTAATAGTTTCGACAAGAAATCGTTTTGCGCCAGTAAACGAGCACGCCGCCGCACGATAACCGTAAACGCTATATTATTGTCCTACATATACCGCAAACCCGCCCATCTCGTTTAACCGTAAACTTTCCCGCGCGATAGACGCGGTGGGCTCGAAGGGATGGGTGTGCCCCCGTGAGAGGACCACCACCGCGCTGCAGCTTGAATATAATTTTACTGCCCGTTCGATATATGGTTGGAGGAAATACGTCGTATAGGAGAAGATTCTTGCACAGTTGTAAAAAAGTCCATCGAGGGTGAAGCGCGATCAGATTTTCTAGTGACTGCCGTTTTTGGACACGAGTACCTAGACTCTAGAGTTACAAGATATCTGAAAAATATAAAAATGTACCTATACTCGTCTTAAACGGTGCCTATGTGCAATTATATTCTACCAATAACTGTCAAATTTGTTGAACTGAACTTCTAATGTTTCGTCATTTTCAGAATCAATTTTTGAACAAAATTCCCAATAGGCTTTTATGATAAGACGAAGAGGGGCGATTTATACTCGAGGGTGCGATATACATATTGGTCAAAAATTTAAATGATTTTATCTTCAAAAAAGTTTGAAAACCGATGATATTAATTGTCAAGCAATGTTTTATTATATTATGCTGGTAGGTAACACTAATAATTATTATAAAACTCAGCTATAGTGCTTAGACATTTGTAAGCAATCTCATAGACCATATGATAACGTACAACAGTAACTTTCGGTAACGAAAACATAAGTCAGCAGTTTAATTTGATCAGGTTGATATTTAAAAAACAACTTCTTACTTGTATGAGTGTATGACTTATATTTTTATAAAATTCAATCAATGTACTTACTAAAACACAGGTTCCCAAACTGCGGGTAGTGATTATATTTTGGATGGGTCACATTATGTTTTGGAGTACTTAAATATTTTTATTATATACAATATTTAATATTCGATAACTTCAGAACATAATATAAATATAAAAAAAAAACTAATACTATAATTATTATGTATAAATTCAAATACATATGGTACAGTATTAAGTATTTTCCATGCGACTAAATTTCACGTTGGTGTTCGAATTTAGTTTTACCATTGATCACTGTACATTGCGATTTAGTAATTAATTTTTTTTATTTCTTATTATTACCTATTTACCACATGAAATCGTTACTTAATATTAGCAATTTTACATGGAGGAATTGAAAAATATGTCTTCGAAAACTGGAATCCATCTCGATGCGCTTTTTCGGTTATGCGTAAGAAACAAGATATGATCGTGGATCTGGGAACCTTTTTTTATTTTGGCAGACAAGGGATCCGTGTCCTAGGAGCCAGACAGGAGGATTAAAGTTCATAGCGATTAGCGAGTTTGAATCTCAATACTTACACAATCTCCCATCTAGACTCGCTTGTTCATAAAATCATTTTCTAAATTAAGACACTATTGTATTACAAATAAAAATATGACGTGTGCGAAATTGACAAGAAATCAAATATCGGAAATACATTATTATACCCGTGAAAAATAATAAAACTATTTACTGCAGAACGCGATGTATTTACGATAACATAATGAAAGAATTTTATTGTGTAAGCATATATATTTTCTATGTATTATGTTTTCAAATTATATTATATTTTATCTGTATTTGCCAATCTTGCAATAAATGAATTATTACAATGTTCATAACTTTCTGCGTTAAGAAGATCAGAGAGTGCTACGAGAACGCAGTAGAATGATAAAATAAAGCACGTTTTAGACATTTTATATTTAATATTATAATAATCTTTTGTAAGCTCAACATTACTTTCAAAATCAAATGTGTGTCTGCTAACGTAGGTAAATGTATTGAGAAAAATCAAATACATATTTCAACATTTGCATGAAATATTATTTCGTATGTAGTACTTATGTGGTATATTTTGCTAACTAAATAATTTTCCACCATAGATTTTATTATGAATAAAAATAGACATTATTATATTATTATTTTGTATCTTTGAAATTACGATTTGGTTTTGTTCGCCGTAGGTAATGTAAAGCGTAATAATGCACAAGTATGTGCAACCCGCTTCTTCCATGGTAGATTCCATTAAGTAATTACTCCGAAAAAAATAAATCTCATCCATAAATATTGTGATTTACTGCTGCGACACGTCGCCTTTAACCACATTACTTTTACTCACATAATCTTTGACACAAACCGAAAGCATGTTTCGTTTCGACATTATTATCGTAACATATCTTGTATAATAATTATTATTACATTACAATGTGCATGGAAATAATAATAAAACAAACATTAAACGTTTCTAGCACTATTATTCTTGTCTAACACTATATATTCTTGTCTATCTGTTGCAAAGCTTCACACCCACCCACTCTGGCACCAGAACTTCAGAGCACGGAGAATCCCTCCCCTTCTGGCATCCCAGCTTTAGGTAAGACGGATAATATCGTTTTACCCGCTTTCATTATAATATACGATATTAGATAACATAATAAAATAACATAAATTTATTACTATGTATTTTGTTATAATATAAATTAATAATAACTATGAAATATAATTATTAATTACGTGTATATGCGTCTGTATAATATGTACTTGTATAATATTATTTAAAGCGTCAAATATTTATTAAAGAATTATTAATCAGGCATGTGAACGTTATATAGGTAATCGTAATCAAATCGCATTGTTTGCGCATTAAAGAATGGAAAGTAAAAAAGAAATAAACAGTTTGAATATTTTAATATTTTATTCGATTGTAATGGGTTATACTTCAGTTAAAATACAATTTAATGAAAATAAAAAAACTATATAGCATCTATATTATATCCTAATACGATTAACTTATAATTATTGTTTTTACTATTAAATTATTAAATTCCAGCACTGTGATTTGGTTAAAAAATGTTTTCAGCATGAGAAAATTATTATTATTAATATAGTCTGCATATTTTATTGTAAACAATTTAAAAAATTTAAATTAAATAATTGAGACTTTTTATATACCAACCCTCTATATTTTACCGGCATACTTAAGCCTTTTATTTTTCATTCCAACTGATGAATACCTTTTAAAATGAAAATCATTGTTAAATTTCAAATTAGACATAAGTAACACGATAATTATTTAAAATTAAAAAAATACACGTGCATCTTTTGTTTGCAAAAGTATTGAACTGATTAAGTTAGTTAATAATTGTAAAATGTACTCTTAATTAAAGAAAAAATTAGGAATTTAGAAAATTTGGGAAATTATTAATAATTAGATCTGTAATAAATATCTGTATAAAATTGTATTTATATATTGCTTACAATATCTACGTAAAAAAAAAAATATTTGGATAATATTAGGAATATAATACGGTTTATCTTTAAAAAATATTCTGTTAATTTAATAATAATAAAAGCTTACGTATAAGTTCATTTCGAAGCAAAACAATAATATATTATAATAAAATAAATAAAATACACTATACGAAAATCGCGTATAATGTTAAAAAATAAAATACGAAATAAAATGTATTCTGTTGTTCAACAGGTTTCAAGGGAGTGCAGGTAAAAAAAAAAAAAAAAAAAATGAGGGTTAGAGAAAACTATAATACACTACACCCCACACCTATATCAAGTCAGACGATAGTCGTTTTCGATGTCTTAATCCTATATTTTTTTTCATCTTATGCTTGTTGTTTTTACTATTTTGCCTCGATAACTTTTTGATATCCACGTTGGTCGTGTGTTTTTGAATGTTTCAGGTCCACAATGGACGACCGATGGGAGTAACGATTTAGAAAACGGTACGTCGAACAACACGAACGGAAAAGGAGGGAAAAAAGGTAATAATAATGGAAAGGACTGCGAGGTGTTCCGGTTATAGTGGGGGGGGAGGGGGAGGGGTGTCGGGGCTTGTGTATACGTGTAATATACACACACACGCATATACATGTATAGTGCATGTAATACGTATATTGTATGCACCATATATAATATATACTTGGGACGACGCTCGCGATGTATAGCTCCCATATTCTATCGGTGGCTTCGGTCGCACAGTCATATCAGCCCGACGACGACGGTTCGCTCGTGGCACAGTGTGTCGTGCTTACGTAAATACGCATGTATATACATACGGCGATATTATATTATTATAATATATACGAGCAATATATATGTAATACAAATGTGCGTGTGCGTGTGTGTGTGTGTGTGTGTGTGTGTGTGTGTGTTAAGGGACGCACGCCGACAGATGTTGCGTTCATTATAATAGCGGCGGGAAAGAAGGAGAACAACCCTTCGGGTAAACCTTCGACATTCGATTATGGAAACACAACCGCTCCGACTAACCTCCCCTATATATACGTGTGTATACACGTATATATGTATACATATATATACCTTCTTCCCTCTCATCGCCGCCGCCGCCGCCCGCTCGTGTCCGCGTCCGTCGCGTCTTGCCCTCACCCTCGAGGGACCCATCGTGGAGTTTTCAGCTTTGTCTGTGTATAGGCGGCGGCGGCGGCGGTTTGACTACATCGCGGGCCCGCCGAACCACGTGCGTTTAAACGCTCGCTTTTATTGACCGCGGACAGCGAGAATGTAATAATATATAAAATCGTTCCCTTTGAATCGGTCGTGAAACTCGGCCGATGAGAAGAATTGAATGCCATATAATGTATATTAAATTATCATGATATGGATGTGGAAGGTATTATAATATTATATAGTCAGTTCCGTCGGGGCCGTTCCGACTTTAACGAAACGATATCGCTTTCGCATAATATAAGAATCTATATGTACATTCATACACGAATACGTGCACCTAAACGTCCCGATAATGTGTTTTATTTGTTCTTGGCAGACGATAATTCCATTTTGAACGAGATCACTCGATCCGGTCAGACGTACAGCAAACCTAACAGGCCAGACATCATCAAAAGTAAGTCGTTTTCTCAAATACTATACTATATTATGCACGTATTCTGATGTTCAATTTGGTGCATCGTGAGTCGTTCATAATTCATTAGTAGGTATAAATAAGTCAGTAAAAATGTGTATAAAAATGAGTTTATAGTTATTGATGACAGCCGATTCATGCCAGTCGTATTTTCGTTGATCGAGGGGGTGGGGCTGTCCACCCACAAACAATAATATTGTAATAATAACCAAGTTCCCCGAAATGTTTTCACTTTTAACAAGCATTATTGTTTTAGGTGTCTTTGCCTTTTTAGAATCAATAGTTTTTATCTATTTTAATAACATTTAAAAAATATATATTTTTGGGATATGGTTCGACTCGTTTCATCTCCGGAACAAAAACATTTTATTGTGTTAAATGTATTCAATGAAAATAAAATTATATTCATACTTTCATATTTTTGATTTTTTACTTAGGCAGAAACTTTGTAATTTACATCATTATTATAAATTGTAATTTATATGTTTTCGTATTATAGGTAATGTTTACAAATAGTAATTATTTATTGATCATTGACAATTGATAATATTCATGGTAAATGAAAGAAACTAATATATAACGTCGGATTTCTTAAAAAGATTTCTTCTATAAAAGCCATGGTAAAAAATAAAAACTAAGTTCTTTCTATACTTAAAATGTTCAACTACATTATATACCTTTAGACGTATTATAAAATTATCTATTTAAAAATTATAATATAAATAATATTATGTCATGCTATGTTGAATCATCCTATGACGATAATATGCAAAGTCCGCGGTGAAAGGATGATTGTCTTTTTGAGACGACACATCCCGAATTTCAGCGGATAATTGTATTATTTTCTACGTTTTCTCATTGTACCCAATTACGACAATGGTCATAAATCATAATATGTATTAATATGCAAAGTCGAAATGTAATTAATGTTTGCGCCTTTTGTTCGTACGTAGAAGTGATATGCATGATTTACTCTGTTCACTAAATGTCTTAATAATATTTTATAATATTATATCATATTAAGTGTACGTATTTGTCGGTATATATTATAGTCGCAGTACTTACCTACCTTAAAATATATATTTCGTATTATTTTATGACGATTATATAAATAATATAATATTAAATAGGTAGTTAACTACATTTAAAAAAATTACACTTTTCTCCAACAGTTATTTAAACTGTTCAAGTTTTCAACATGTTTAACGTTTCGTTATAAATTATAATATACGTATATAGTTGATAAATATTTTGTTCACAACAAAATTGAAAATACTTTTAATGTCGAATTCAAATGTATAAATATTCAATAAATCAAAAAATGAGATAAAAAAATTATTAAATTAACTACCTACAGATATTCATTGGTACTTAGATTGGTTATACACGTATACACCTTTATAAATTAAAATACAAAATAATTTATATTGTTTCATGTCATTTTTTACCCAAAACTGTTATGCATTATATATCACAAACCATTCGTATTGTTATGATGCAATGAGTTAATAATAATAACATTTCTCCCCTCTTGGGACAAGGTAATAAAACAAAAATGTGAAATTGTAAAATAATATAATTAAGGATCATTTATTATAATTATTATCAAACAGCATTTTGCATTAATGAGATAAATATGATTCATAAGATTGTGTATTTGTGTCAGTATTTAATTAATGAACTATAACATTGAAAAAACCTGGAAGTCTCCGTGCTAGTCTGCTGTATAGTAGATAATGAGAAGGTCACTGTTATGGATGTGATAAATTTCAATACAATATTTCAAAGATAAATTATTGCATATAATACGATTCTACGATTCTAAGCTGAGAGATGGCCCATACTTCTACATTATATTTTTGTAAAATTGTATGTTTAGACTTACGAGTAATTTATTTGTAGGTTGAACTAAATTTTGTCAAAAACAAATCAATTACGTATATTATATTTTAATTCATATAAGTTATGCTGATATTTTAGACTCAGAGTGGTGTGATAATTGCATTGATTTTACAATGGTATGTGGTGTTTTTGTGTGAGTATATCTGTAGTAGAAACTCTTGAATCTTCAAATTTGAGGATGGTATTTGATAGAAAATTTGAGCTAGTTGGGAATTTTAAGACATAAAAATGAAAAATACTCAGAAGTTTCAAAATAATCTGGAAAACCAAAAAACATTAAGGAATAACGAGAACTTTTACACATAACCAGATAGATTTCAACCAAATATTTGTTTTTAATGTAACTATGAATAATTGAAGATACAGAAGTTTTCAGAAAATGTTCACTTAAGGATTTTATTTTTGAGCTATTTACATTTGATGTTTCAGATTTTTTATTTATCTTCTATAAATATTGATATAAATATTTTCTCGGTTAAAAAGTTTGAAAATTTAAAAAGAAGTTCTCGGTAAGTTTTTATTATAACCAATTAAAAATATTAAATACACAATAGGAACGACTTTTTTGTCATAATTTTAAATCGACAATTTGATAAAAAATCATTCAAAATCACAAAAAGTGTTCAAAATATAGAAATAATTAAAAACGTATAAATTGTTAAATGTTTCTAGGGCTATGTTTTTTTATGGCTTGAAAATGTAATGCAAGGTTCCCATACAAACAAAGAATAACGATTTTATTTTTTTTGTATTCAAATAATAAATTTTTTTGATTTCCAACTTTTACGTATTTTATAAAAATTGTTTATAGAATGATATTTTCAAAACATTTAAATTAATTTTATGCTATTGTCCATTTAGAGTTCATGCCGTTTACTAAAAATAAAATAAAATACTGTAATTGTTAAGAGGATGCAACACCCGAAGTGTTATCTCCGTCTTACAAACGTACAACATGGCACATTTTATGTTCACAATAATAATATTATATTTTACTCTGTAATTTCTAAAATTAAAGCGAAATGACATCTTATAAAATTTAAAAACAAGATTATTATATACATCATCTCTTAGGCTTTTTATTATATTTTAATTATATTATATTTAATTTTAAAGTGTGTTATGACTTATGAGTATTTTAAAATTGTAAATCGTTTGAACATATTAAAATAAAACAGAGACAGCACATGCGGGTGTGGCGTCCTCTTAATAGCAATATTTATTTACATGATAATATACAATAGGTTGACAGATTGTCTCCACTCAGAATCGTTTTTCGTAGGCAATGACTTATCAGTGAATTGAAATTAAACACATTCATTACAGTGACTTCAACCATAACGAGTTGCACTCGGCTTCTACTATACGGCAATGTTGTTACCTACTTCCCCCCCTCTTTAAAACATTTTTTAATGTACATACCAATATACATATAAATCTATGATCGACTTAATTAATTATTATAATATGTAAAGTTTAAATATTATACATTAGGAATGATGTGAGCTATTAAATATCGACTTATAGAATACATTTAGTATTTTATTTTATTATATTCTGCAGGAAATACTTTATATATTTCATATTATAATATTATTTGCTATGTAATGAACTTTTGCATGCCGTAGGTCGGGATACCAATAGCTTATATGCAATTTCAATATTTCGAAAATTTGTACTTTGTATAGTAAATAACCTGTACTAATAAAACGTAGTGGAGAATAGTATTATGTCCCTACGAACAATGTTTTATTATTTACAAAAAAATTACCAAAACTGTTATTTTATGTTTAAATATCCAATTTTGTAGATATTTAAGCTTGTAATGTCTATGAAATAAATTGTGATACTTATAGAATTTCAATAGGTACCTACGTTTATTTTACTGTACCTACATATTTAAGCTTTTTTACCGAATCATACAAACATTAAACAACTTTAAAAAATTTAAAAAAATCGAAATCCCTAAAAATAATTTAAAATAAGCCTAAACATTTTTAATTTGCCACTGTGTAAGGAAAGTTATTATGTACCTAAGTAGTAGTGAAATATTTCATGTTTCAATAATAAATATTTTAATGAATATAACAACAAAATATTAAAAATTGTATCACTTATAAAAAATATGTGACTTAACTCTAATTTTTTGTTTGTAAAATAAAATTTAAAACAAATGTTGTAAACAAAAAAAGTAAATTTTTTTATTATATTTTCAAGCCTAAAGTTTTAAAATTAAAAAATAAGAATTTTTAACCTTCAAAATTCTAAAAACCCGCCTGAAAGTTAAAGCATTGAAACATTATAGTATTGTTCCAAAATGTAATGACGGACAAAAAAAACACACATCGTTCTAAAATCAATTTATTCATTGCTCTATTCAAAACCTAAAATATATACCCAATAGTGATAATAATATAAGAACAGCCAATAAATTAAAAACGAACGCATTATTATCGTTTGTTATGAATATTTTCATCTATAAATATTCTCAACTTTGATCCTATATCAAAAAATCCTTAATTTTAAAATATTGGTTCGTTTATATCAGCTAAAACGTCTCCTGGGGGGATAATTTGTGGACAATTGTTTGAGTAGATTAGGGTTGCCATTTTGCCAAGAGATTGATGATTCTGCCTCTTAAACGATTTAGCCGGAAACCCTCAGATAATAGTATTTTGATTTCTGTCAACTACGCAAAGTACACTATAGCTAGGCAATATACTGAATCTGTCAACAACTCAGAATAATAATTATTTCCATGTCCGATCAAATTACTTGATACGAATTCAATCGAATTCAAACGAATTTTAAAATCAAATACCTATTTAAGACTTTAAATAGGTGAGCTTAACACTTTTTTATTAGCACGAGAAATTTCAATCATAAAAATAAAGTAAATAACGTAACTATTTGAAGCGTATGTTATATTAAAAGTTTGATTCGCTATTGCCAGTTGCCACAACTCTCATGATAATATTTTTTTAATAAAAATAGGGTTTTTAAATTCTGTGAACAGTGAAAAATCTATTTATTCAAATTAAATTACTCTTACAATGTATTTAATTATTCATATTTTCTGA